ATTGTTCTCTGATGGAAACGGAAACTTGTACCAAAATTCAAAGAAAGAAGTTCTAGAATGGCAAGATGAAGCCCAAAAAAAACTTCATCAACAGAAATTCAAGCACTTAAATCATCAGCCTGGAGGTTATGGTCTACAAAGGGAAGTGGACAGTGTATATCTTCTTGTGTAAATCTGTGTTTAAGACAGATCCAAAGCTTAATGTAGTAAGATGGCTACACCCTTAACCTACCAATATTTGTTATTAAGAGGTAAAAATGTAACAAGATGTGAGTTGGCACTGACACGCAATAATCTTGCATGTCTCAGAAGGTGCTATACTAACTTTTCTATAAGCAAACTGAATCTTATTTTCTCAATGTAGAAAAGATTCTAGGTACACAAGTATAGCCAAAGAAGCAAATAGGTGATTCACTGAAAATCAACCTAAACAGATTGGGAAATTTGAACTGTAGGATATGGGATATAATTTTCTGTCAAAGTGAAACTCAAACAATAAATATCTGAACAAATTCAGGAAACATCCAAAGAGAGGCCACCAGTCTACTATAGTCTATTTGACTAGTAATTTATCTGAAAAAGACCAAATTTGATGCTCCTTAAACATGATAGACACACTAAAGGGTAGATAGCCATCCAAGTACAACTCTAGAATATAGACTTTATAACAATTTCACACTTGAGTAATAGGAATTTGCTAAAACTACTAGTGTTTTAGAGAGCATAAAGCACCAATTACTTCAAGCAGGCCATAACAAGAGAAAACTGTAAGTCTACTCAAGACTGAACAATAATGAATGGACAGTGTGATTCTTAGGCATCAGAACAAGAAGATGCAGCAAGCTTGTAATATGTGGATCTGCTTAGTTTCTTGTTTACCTGTAACACCTGGAAAGATGGAAATATAATGGCACCTAAGAATTAAATATATATTTCAGTATTTGCCTTGATTGTATAATCATATGCATTTAAGAACTTTTAAGATGTAACTCTACTTCAAGAAATGGATTGTTGTGTCAAGTATGCTTGCTATATGGAACAGGGTTAGAAGTAGAGTTAAAGGTGACAAGGAGAAATCTTAGCAGTAAGAAAATACCTAAGAACAAGAGCTAGTGGGGGAGGTATTTCAGCAGTGTGAGTAGGTAGGGATCCGTTGGAGGAAGTAGATCTTAGAGGCAGTGCCTTTAAAGGGTGTATTCTCCTTCTCTTTCTGCTTCCGGGCTGCTGTGAGGTGAGCAGCTGGGCGCCACCTAACCTCTCTGCCGTGTTGCAATGCCTCCATAAAAGCTCACCAAAATGGGACCATGGAATGAAAGCTCTGAAGCCATGGACCAAAATAACACTTTCCTCCTTTATGTTGGGTTCACTAAAAACAGCTTCTCCCAATGGAGGGAGTAAAACCATGTTCTTTACCACAGTGAGAAAAGACCTTGGGCTGTCATTGAGAACTTACTGACAGCTCTGTGTATGTATCAGACAGGGATCTCTAGAGGGATAGAACATATATATCTATATATCTATATCTATATCTATATCTATATATATATCTAGAGAGAGAGAGAGAGAGAGAGAGAGAGAGAAATTTAAAGCTGTTAAAATCAAGAGAGATAGGTTGGTAGATGGAACTGAAGTAGATAGTACAAATCTTAATGCTTTAAGCTAAAGTAGGAAAGCTCCTGAAACTATATTTGTAATGATTTTTTCAAGTTATTCTGTTATTATTGCTTATGATCTTTATTGGCTATTGTTCCAAACTGCTTAATTGTTTTTAATGATATTTTAATTAATAAACTTTGATTCACACACCAAAGAACTTGTTGTCACCTTAAATCACCTAGTAGACAATTTTTGGGCTACCAAACTGCCATAAAAGGACTCTGTTTAAAATTAGGTCATTGAATATAATAAATGAAAATGTTGTTCAAAGAGCCTGACTGTCTACTTCTGACTTGTCAGATAATCTCTAAGAAGTACATTAACATGATGTTTCATCATTCGTGAAATGAAGATTACACTTTTCTGCTAATTTTTAATGGTAAAAAGGAACAAAAAAATACAGATTTAAAGGTTTTGGTGTATCTGACAATGGACTACAATACACAAAATTGTGACATTTCAGAAGTCATTCCATACCAACAAATGTCAGTATGAAAATACCTGAAGACTTAATTGACATGTAAGAACAATCCAACAGTTTGCACCTGTTACTAAGAAACAAATGCTTCCTCGTTCTATTTTATGTAAAAATTGTAATTTGGAATTGGCTTTTGTTTCATTCTTTGGAGCACAGTTTTTCACCAAATTAAATTCTTTTGAAGAGCCTATTTGAATCCTGGTAGGAATAATTATGAGAAAAATCTACAGTGAAAAATCCCATTAGGGAATAATGAATTATCTTCCCCTTTATGTTAAGATTTTGGTCCTGAGGGCAATACTGTGCTGGTTTCTTTTCTCTTTGCTGTTTCAAAACACGTGACAGAAACGTCTTAAGGGACAAAAGGTTTATATTGGCTCATGGTTTTAGAGGGTTGCAGTTAACCATAATAAAGAAGGCATGATGAGGAGAGCAGCTCTGTCTATGGCGTTGGGTGCTCACAAGTCTGAGGACCAGGAAGCAGTGACATGGCCAGGTAAATATAACTTCAAAAGACCTGTTCCTATTGCCTAAAGCCTCTACAATGATGCCACAAACTGGAGACAAAGCACTCAAAACATGATCCTGTGGGGGAACATTTCACTTTCAAATCATAGCATTCTTTCTCAGTCTCTCATAGGCTCATAGCCATTTGATAATGCAAAATGCATTAACTCCAAGGGTCCTCTAAGTTTTAACACTGTTCATAACTTCAAGTTCAGAATGTGCTTTCATATTCAAGATAGTTTTCTAACTATGATCTAATATCAAATAAAATAAAAAATAGAGAGATCCATACTCACGTACAATATCACCTAATGCACATTTTCTAAAAGGAGAAATGTAGATTAAACCAAGAAAAGCTTGCAACTTCAATTACAGGACTACACCACCCCCCCCACCTGGCTTCTATGCAGTTTTTCCTTTTTGAGTATCCCCCATTGTCATGTAGAGGTTGTTACTCTTTGAATACCTTTGGCCTGTGAGATTTTTGCCAATTCTTTCACTGGCCTTTTTCAGGGTCTTAAGGTCATTAGTAAAGTTACCTTTAAAATATGTCTCCAAATTGTTTATGGGCTCTCAACATGTGACTCCCAGGTTGAATTTATTCCATCAGATCACGGGATAGGACCCACTTGAATTAATAGTTAGGCTGGGAGGTTGTTCAGTATGGCAGAACACTTGATGTGTAAACAAGAGGACCTGAGTGGGAATTCGACACACCCATGTAAAACTTTGGGTATAGTTGTGCATGCCTGTAACCACAGTACTATGCATAGTGGGGAGGATATTACAGGCAGGATTATTACTGGAGTTTCTAGGCCACCCACCTAGTTTGAAGTTTAACAGAAGACCCTGCCTCAAGATAATGATGCAGACAGTGATGGAGTAGAACACCCATTGTCCTTCTCTGACCCCGGGGCATATGAATGAGTGACTACACCTGTACACACTTGTGTGTACATTATCTATCACAGTGGGGGATGCACAAACTCAGCCCATTATAATCACACATAAAATATTATTAAATGTGTAGAAGGGGAAAGGAAGAAAAACAAAGGACAAAGTTTTAAAAAAAGGACTAGGCTGGGCAGTGGTTGTGCATGCCTTTAATTGCAGATCTCATGAGGCAGAGCTAGGAGGATCTTTCTTTGTGAGTCCAACGCCAGCCTGGTCTACACTGAGTGAGTTCCCAAGACAAGTCAAAGCTACACAGAGAAACTCTGTCGTGAAAAACAAAACAAAAGGAACTACTGAAACTACTGAGCCAGGAGTGGTGAAAAATGTCTGTAAACTCAGTACTTGGGGAAAGGATCAGGTGTCCAGGAAGTTTCCTTCATGAGACCCTGTCTCAAGCACTGCAAATGTGTGCTTATATGTGCATGCAAGCACACACACACACACACACACACACACACACACACACACACTTCCACAACCACCACCACCAGCAAAACTAAGGAAAAGAAAATGGATATAAGAATAATAAATAAAAATCAGTACGTCTTTCTCTTCAGTTTATTAGGGCATGTGAACCACATTCCTTTAAGCAATTTTCTTTTGCTGGTTTTGAAAGATTTATATTATGTGTGTGGGTGTTTTGCTTATATGTGTGAATGTGTACCAAATGTGTGTTTGGTGTCCACAAAGGTCAGAAGAGATCATTGGATCTCTTGGAACTGAAGTTACCAGATGTTTGTGAGCTACCATGTGGGGCACTGGGAGCCATACTTGGGGCTACTGTAAGAGCAACAAGTGTTTTTAACCACTGAGCCATTTCTCTAGCCCCATTTCCAACGAATTTAAGGGATTTAGTTTATCATGAAATACTAAATTCACTTTCCATAGAGAATATAGTGAAGATACAGTTAGGTTTCATTTAATTATTTATGTCCAAACTAGAAATTAGTTGTATTGCTATATCCTACAGGAAGATAACTATAAAGTAATCAGTGATCAAGTATATTCATGAAGATCATTATCTTTACAAATTTTGTCTCCAAATACACTAAATGTAAGCGTGTAAAACATTTCCAAACAAGGAGGAACACTGTTTATCTGCTGTATTTCAAACACTGAGAACAGTACTTAACAAATATTAGCTGAATGATAAAATGTCGTCCTTTTGAAGAATCAGGTGACTACTGTTTTGGTCACAAAGGAAATACACAGAAGCTGTCTGCATCACAGACAAACGGGTCTATTTGTAAGGCCTATCCAACCACATGTATGTTTAAAGATGTAAGTGTAGTTTGTTTTTCACTACCCAACACATAAGTGGTAGAAAAAAATACTGAGTCTTGCTTTGATGCTGTGGACACTGAGAGCTTTAAGATGCCAGGAATCAGAGATGATCTCAGCTTACCTCTTTCTGGTGATATTTGATTGCCACTTTCAGCATGGCCAGGTCATGGTACTTCTGTGGGTCAAGTTCTTCACTGTGGTCATCTCGGTGGTTGAGGATGATCTCCAGTTCTCGGGAGCTCCGAGCTTGGTCCAGCAGGTCCTTGGCAAAGAGCTTACATTGCTGGGAGAGCTCCTCATACTCAGCCTTGAATTCATTTTCCACCTTGCTTAGCTCTTTGAGTTCCCAGCCCAGCCGGAAGGCAGTTAGGATGGGGTCCTCACTTGATAAGGCAATGAGGGAAGGGCTTGCCAGAGCTTTGTAGATGTTGAGTCGGGACCTTGAATGGCGCAGGCTGTCTACCTCTGAACTGGACACACATTCTACACAGTTGCAGCGGATTTGGTGGGGCCGTGGTATAGTGACCCGCTTTTGGACAAGCAATTTGATGATTTCATAATTGTTGGTATGGGCAGCCAACATGATGGGAGTGATGTCTGGTGTGAACTCAGAGAACTGGGTATCCATCATCAGAGTGGGAACCTATACAAAAGAAATGAGAAACACAGAGGGGCAGGGTTAGAGTTAGGAGTACAAAAGAGCATCTATTGTGACTTGTCACCCAAACAGTTAAATGCTTGTGGCGTGCTGTGTGGCACTTCCATAAGCACTTTATTGCATTTACTTATTTAATATTCACAACAACCTAGTTGGTAAATATTTTACTCCAACAGAACACATATAACATTATGTAGTTTTCAGTAGTAGAGCCAAAATTCAACCCAGGTAGTACAACTGTCAATCTCAGCTCTTAAAATTATGTTACAACAATATGCCTAATTCTATCTAACAGAATAAGGGAAAGGAAGAATTAGAAGATGTTATTTTTGGACCTCTGGCTGAGTTGCACAGATCATGAAATCTCTAACAGTTCAAGATGCTATATGTTTAGCTTTAATTGAGCTGTTGAGACTGCTGTATTATTCACTTGAAAGACCAAAGACAAGCACTCACTTTGAAGACCATGCAACTAAATAAAGTCACAATAGCAAAAGAAAAGACTCTTACAAATGGTATTGACTTTGTATGCATATGGGACGTTAGAGGACTAAAGGGGCAGGCCTGATTAATTCAATTTCTTCTAGGTCCAGGAAGGTAGAAAGAATTGGGTATTGTCAGGGAGAAGTAATATTGTAAATGAGAAATTCTAAGCTTGCAGCAGCATTGCTAATGACAAGAGAACATTTGATAAGACTGTTGTGTCTAGGATATGATATTTGGTGGAAATGGTATCTATAGCTAGACTTCATTATGTGCAGAATTCATTACGTATTTAGGAGCACACCTGTAGAAATGCATAGACCCTGATCAATGAATTAAAGCAGTCTTCCAACTTGAAAATAAATCTTTGGGGACTTAGTCTGTTTTCAGCCCAATAAAGAAAGCATGAGGGTCTGGGGTCACAGTTGAGTTAGTAGAATGTTTGTCTAGCATGCACAAAGCCTTAGTTTCAATTCCCGGAACCACATAATGAAAATAAAATGGAAAATGAGAGAGTTCACTAGACTCACATAAGAACTAGAAGATGGAGGAGGACTGAGACAGTGAAGGGAAGGGTTTTGGAAGGGAGATCTGAGTATGTGAAGCATGGGTAACATTCCAGCAGATAGGGAAGTACTGATCTTATTATATTTGAGGAAAAGAAGAGCACAGTGTCAAAGCTCATTTTCAATGGGGGGAAAAGAGCAGGGATACCTGGGAGTCTCATAAAATAAAAAAATATTGTTTTAATCAATAATTTGTTTTGTTTTGTTTTTTTTTTAAAGACAACAACAATAGCAACCTACACTTACTGGTGACCTTACAAAAGCATGAGTTACTAGCTTTCATCAATGTTTATCTCTTATTTGAAAAAAAATCTCACCTTGTATAAGGTATTTCTAAAACAAGGAAGTGGCTGGGAAGGGGGGAGAGGGAGGAAAGCTAAGGGCAACAAAATGCAAGAAACTGGTATTCCTTGCGGAGTAGCTGCATTGGCTTCCGAAGGGTATCAGTCATCAATTGCTAGGATTGAGAAGAGAGTAAACATCGTAAAATATTGGGAACGAGAAGCTACAAACGAAACAGTGGGAAGTGAACAACTCGACTCATAAAATAAATTGGACACAGAAAAGAATAATCTCAGAAATTAACACAAGCCTACAGACTTAGGAAGAAATAGGTCTGAGTGGGCCTGGAAATGAACATAAACACAACTGGCATAAAGCCGTGGAGTGGGGAGAGTTGGAAAGTGAGCAATTTGTCACAGTCTGCCCAGGAAGAAAAGAGCTTATATCTGGAAAATCTGTCCTTTCTAAAGGTAGGGACATTTTCAATCTTTATCATTATCTAAAATGGTTGGGAGAAGGTGGCGTGGGTGTCAACCTGTTTGACGGTTTTCTCTGGGTGAGGGTGGAGGTATGGTCTGCTTCCTAACATGTTGTTCAACTTGTCCTCTCACCCACTCCTTCCTTGCTAGTTATACTTTCATCCTCTTTTCTTCTTTTCGGTGCTGAGAGGCCTGTCCACGACACAAGAGTACCCACGATTGTTGTTTAACCCTACTTGTATCATTGGAGCTGATAGGAGACTGGTTATGCTTGGAATATGAAAAGCTATCTGGAGGTATTTAATTCCAATAAGGAGCATTATGACACTCCACTTGGTTTTTGTTGTTGTTGTTACTTGAGACGAGAGAGGAGAACTTTCCCCAACACTATAGCTTTCATTGACGTCTTCTCCGCAACTGCCTATTCCAATATTGTAGGCTATAGGTTACATCTGAGGTAGCTACTTTTCTGATGCTGCTTTACATTGTTCTCTGTCCCACAATATGCTTCTTAGAAGCCTTGTGAGGGTTAGCATTCATTGTCACCTTGATGGAATCTAAGGTTAACTGGAAGATGGGCCCCTGGGCATGACAAAATAATAAATCATCTAATAAAAAATGGATGTATTAGCTTAACAGACAGATCTCCAAACAAGTACAAAAGAGCACTATACAGATGACCCCATGGTCAACACAACTTGCCATCCAGTTTTGAGGACTAGAGTTCAGGTCCTAAGCTCATGTTGGGTGACTCACAATCACCTGTAATTCCAGCTACAAGGATCCAGTGCCATCTTTTGGCCTTTGGGGCATACACACAGATCTGCACATATACTCACATAAGACACATACTCAAAAAATAAAATAACATTTACAAAATTTAAGTACTAAAATCAAGGAACACACAAAAATGTTCAAAATGTCTAGCCATCAAGGGTATGCAAACCAGAACTACTTTCGGATGGTGGATGTTCCACTTATAATTGCAGCACTTTGGTGTTCAAGGCAGGAGAATCGTGAGTTCAGGGTCAACCTGGGATATAAAGTCTCTTGAAATATCTACCTTCTCAACTGGAGCTGGGGACAAAGGCCCCAAAGAAAGGAATTCGCATTTACCCAGGTTGTGGAAGTCCAGTTTGTAAACAAAAGAATTCAAATATTAATTTTAGAATAGGATATTTCAATTCTTTTTGCTGAGAGCTGCCGTGGGAGTATACAGCAGGTGACAATCAGTGTTCAGTTGGTCTACCCATCAGACACATGATTCCCTGGTGGGGGTACAGCACTTTTTGCTGAAGGCTGACACTGTGCTCTTTGCTGATGGGTAACAGCAAACTAGGGAAGCTCCACTTGTAGGCAGAAGCTTTCACCCTTATGGAGGAGTGTCTTGGCTTCTTTTCTGCTGCTGTAACAAAAACAACTTAAGGAAGTAAGGGTTCATTTAAGCTCACAGTTCAAGGCATAAGCCATCATTGCAAGGGAGCCAAATCAGGAAGAGCCTGAAGCAGTTGGTCACAGTATGTCTTTAGTCAGAAGATACTGTTAAATACATGCTAGTGTTCAGCACCCTTTGTCTAAGCATGTAGTCCAGGATCCCTGCCAGGGAATGACACTGCCAAGAGTGGACACAGCATCCCGTATCAATTGAATAACATCATCACGATAATCTCCCATAGTTATGCCCAGAGGCCCATCTCCTAGTTGATGCACTCACTGTGTCACCACTTCATGTGTAGACAATTCTGAACTGCATAAGATAGAGAGCAGGCTGAGTACTCTTAAGCATGCATGCACCTATTGCTATATTGATCTCTGCTCTTGACTGTAGATGTGATTGATGTGACTGTCCCATGTCCCTGCTGCCTTGACTTCTTCACACTTAATGGACTCTAACCTGAACTGTGAACTAAAATAAATCCCTTCATCCCTATGTTGATTTTATTTTGGGGGAGGGAGCATTCTATCACATCGATAGAAATGAAACTAGAATGGATGGTGAATATAGAAATAAAAGTAGAAGGAAGACTTTTAAAATTAGTTTATTGTCCCTTTTGTAAGTTTAGAGCTCTTAAGGTTTGCTTTCCGTTATGGTGAGTTTGGAGACTTGATTGGAATAGCAGCAGGAAATTATGGGACTGAAGCATGAATCATGAAGGGAAGGTCGAGGTTGACACTATGGTTATGAGAATTTTCAGCACTATTAATAATTGAAATAAAAGAATAGAAGAAATCAACCTCTGTGAGCTCCTCCAGTTCTCCAAGAAGTCTGTCCAGCCCTACTTTTCAGAGCACATAAGGAATGAGGGAAAGTGCAAATCACTATTGTCAGCCTCCTCCACTCAAAATCCCAACTGTTGTCGTTTTGCATTAGGGCATAGGCTTTATTTTATTACTGTCTGCACTGACATATCTTTCATACTATAGTGTGTAATAAAAGACCTGTCAACTGATAATTTTTGGTGAATACATAAGTTAAGAGTTACAAATATGTCATTGAAAGGAATGGAGGGGGTGGGGGGAGAGTT